CATCTCCCACGTCTACAATCCCGGGGTCAAGGGGTGGCTCCTTGTCACGCATTGGTCATTAGGAGGTATAGCGACTCCCTTCAGAGGATTTTCCACGCGCTCAGACTTTCACCTATGGGTGGGCGGATGGGTGTGAAAGGTAATGCCCACCTCTGGCGAGTGGGATCTTAATTGGGGAACGCTGGAGAATGGAAAGTCGTTATCCGGCAACACTCAAGGCACGTTAATCTCGCTCGTACGCTTCTCCGCAGGCGTCGACTGAGGGCAGCATTGTGTTCGTTTGTTAAAGGCCCAAATGTACGGCATACTGAATTTCAATACAATATACCCTGTACGTGTCTGCAGCACAGACACGCGCACGGACAAGCCAAAGGCACGAAACAAGTATCCATAAACCAGGAAGAAAAATCATGCATATGCACGGACCGTGTAACGCTATATCCAACGGTGCGTTCGGTCCGTTGATGTTTGAGAACACGCGCGGGTCAATGACGATGATCGGCTTCACGAGCTAACAGACAGGCGGGCGGAGCTAATGCATTTGCGCTTTTCACCACGCCTGTCGGCGCCGGTGAATGATTCGCGGGCGCGATGGTCGTGTCCGCCGTGGCGCGTGTGGGTGGCGACGCTTCCTCCGCGACGCGTGCGCGTGGCCTGCGAGCTCGGGGCACACACGGATGGCCCGCATCACGGCTCTGGGCTCTAGGCTCTTTTTTCAAAGCCCTGGGGCTGGGCGGAAAGACCTTTGCCATTGGTATCGGCGTTATCATCGCAATTTACTGACATAAAGAAATACGTTTTGGAAAAATGATGTAGTGCATTACCCTGACAATAATATGAATAGACAATGAATGATAAATCCTGCAATTTGCAGCATGCGTTACGAAACACACACACACACCTGTTGCACGCAGTAAGACACGCGTCTCTGTGTGCACCTCCTGTGTGTGTGCGTGATGTGCCACTGCAGCGCTGTCATTCAAATGCCGCTGGGCGGGGGGGAGGGATAAAATCAGCAGGACTCTGTGACGAGTCAAGCGGGGGGTTGTGCTATGGACAGATGGGACCGCGGCTTAGAAATGTGGAATTTCCATATCTGACCCACATGGGCAGGGCGCCAACAGAGATGGTATCCGAACAGGCAGCCGCTGTGGGTTTGGCTGTTTTGTAATATATCATTAATTAGTCGCCCAGGAAAGCCACGCTGACTCTGAAAAACGTTGTTACGAGGGTCCTGCATTGGGATGTTTGGCCGACACCAATGGCACTGCATGGAGTTTTGTTTTTGTTTTAAGCTGTGGGAAGAAACCGAGAGAACCCCGAGGAAACCCTCGCAGGATGGGGGAAGAACATACAAACTTCACACACACACACACAAAGCACCGTCCGTGTCAGGAATCGAACCCAGGTGGGAGCCAAATGCTGCCTTTGCACGGCGCTGCTAATCATCACCAGAGGCACGGCCCTGTGAATGGTCGTCTTGGATGCGCGGGGACAGTCGCCTCGAAGATGCTGCACACCCCCACGCGGACCCGTGAGAAGCGCATGCGATGGCAGGGGAATCGGTATGTATTGGTTACCCCCCACCCCCCACGTCTCCCGCAGCACAATAGACTGTCCTCATCCCCAACACTCAAATCGTGCGGTTAGGGTAAACACACACACACACACCAAACAATAAAAGAAGTCGGCGATGAAGCACAAACGCGTTCGTGGTGTGTATCCGAACGTTGAAGGCGCGCCAGTCGTCAGCTCGCTGCGCTTGAAGCTTCGTTCAACGGGAGTTCGAATCCCGACCACGGCTCGGTCGCGTCAGTGTCGAGTGAATATCTGAAACCGGTGCTGTCAGCGTGGCGAGGTTATGCGCAAACAACCTCTACGGCCAACGCGACATTGGGGGAAGGACCGTATAGTTCAGTTAGCGCATTGACAAAAGGGGTGTACATTATTTTACGCTGTTTCACGCATCGTATTTAGGTCGTACTAAAGCATTAGGGCGGAGACCCTACGAGTATTTTCAATCAGTCTTTTGAAAGTCGCATTGTTCGTCCGGCCGCGCTATCGAACGGATGTAACTCTTCGCAAGCACACAATGCTGCGAATTATTTGGAATAAAGGCTTGCAAATCAGCGGTCATCTGTATTATACCAGTTCCTTTGTGAGCCGACAATGGAGACGAATGGACACCCCGTATTGTCCCACTGCTGCGACTCGTTTCGTGGTGTTTTTCATGTACAATGGAAATCGTTCCACAAGTAAAAAAAAAAACACCCAAAACTTTTGTCTATTCGCTCAAAGAAAATCAAAGTTTCAGGATGCTCGTATATTTTTTTTACACTTGAGAAATCGATAGCATTCAACCGAATTTACAGCATACCACAGAGCACACAAAGTCCATAACGTTCGATGTTGAAATACTTAGGCTGCAGTATGTCATATGCACATCCTATAGCCTGTACAGAATCTAGGAACTTTGCATAACCGCTCATACAGCATCGCTCTAGGACCGTCTTGCACGTGATAATGACAATATCCGCATTGTCCTCAGAGCGTGAGGATACACAGCATATGTATATGTACGGCCCTCTTCTATCCACTGCTGGATGGAAGCCTTCTTTCACAAAGTGCGTGCCTATCGGAGGTGTGGGGGGAGGACAACATGGAGGGGGGTTGTTTGACCATACTTCACTATTCATAATAAAGTGTTTTGGGTTAGATCGCGTCATTATAAATGTGTCGCAACCCTCCACCACCCGACACGGCCAATCAGTAAAAAAACAAAATGCGTCACGTTAACAAAACGCCAATTAGTTACTCCTTCAGCCCACCGGTGTGTTTGAGGGGTGAATCGACATTTCGAATTTGAGTTGTACGACGTTTCGCTGGTAATTACATCCAGCATGTTCGGGCGATTTGCCAGAACACTTCACGACTCTGATCAGTGCGGGTTGGTGACGGGGGGTGGGAGGATGGAGGCTTAGAACCGGGACCATTTCAGATTCATCTCTCTTAGCCGCTGTGGGGAAACCAACTCTGGTCGATGAATAATTCATGCATTGCGCGATGGCGCTAACCGCTGTCCCACCCGTCATGTACACGACGGTACTTGTACTGCACTCCAATGCTCGCTGTAGCCACGCAAGCCACGGCCGTAACGCCAATTGATGGCAGGGGCCGCATGCGAAGTCGTATGAACGTCACCGACTTTATAGAACTGCGGTCAATGAAAAACTGGGATTGTAAGGGAAGCTTTTCGCGTATGGTGACGCCGGCGAGTTGTACTCGTACGGCAACCCGCCTCCCTATCCGCAACAGCATGTACATTATATTCTAAATCCGTATTGTGGGCACGAGGGGATGATGTCTGCGCAACCCCCGGGAGAGGCGCGCATTTCAACTCGCATTGTATCGATAATTTCACGCATAACATGCTGGCAAACAAACCCCGGCTTGTGCCGCCCGTGGAATCAAGTCTCCGGGCTCAATCGCCCCTTTTGTAGTTTTGACAAACAAAATCATATTGTGCTTGCCCCGTCCCCCTGTCTCGTCTCGAGCCATTGACACGACCCAACGACGAGGGCTTAGCGCGGTCTATTTAATGAGCAATCCGCACAAAGCGGACTTTATACGCAGTGTCTGCTCGCGAAAAGACGCTGCTGCTGCTGCTCATTGTAGGCTTCTGCTGGGCTCTTGTCAGCCACACACACACACAGCCCACGTATCGTACTACAGTCGCGGCTTTGAGTGCCTGGGACTACGGTCTTACAACTACTAAACATTTTTTTTTACCATGGTAGGCCCGCTGAGCTAAAACATATTTCTATTTTTTTTCAGAAGCGACTTGGCACGCTAATGATAGTTCAACGAAGTGGCTTATGACGTGGACATTTATAGCGGCCAAAGACTCTGAACGCACGTTTCCAGATGAGAAAAATCCACGGGACCACGGGGGGGGGGGGGGGGGGCTAGAGAGAAACGTGCAAACTCCAAAAATACAACGGGCAAATCTTCAGGGTCAGGGATCGAACCCACGACCTCCTGCATACAAGGCGAGGGAGTTAACATCTCGTCACCGCGGGCGCCCCAAACTGCACGTCGCTTAAAGAACACACGAGCGGAGAGTAAAACCTGTCCCCCTTATAGTGCGCGTGTGTGTACATGTGCGCGTGTACTCGCATTCCCCAGCAAGGCTGTCGGAAACGGCTACAGCCCCCATACAGTTGATTGCCAATGCACAAGAGGGGTGGGGGGGTGGGTTCGCTTGCATGTTGTGCGAGCCTTCCAGCTGCGAGCAATTACCAGTCGCAATATGCGAGCGCTAAAGCAACGCGGTCACTTATCCCCCTTCGGCAGCGCGAGTCGTGGGCACAAACTCAACGAGCGCACACAACAACAAAACAACAAAGGGGGTCTCGGCACCGTTCAACTCACGGCCACGGAGAGCGCGTGGATAGCCGCGGCGAGCGAGAGAGTGAGCGCCGCTGGGTTGAAGAGAGAGGCGCGCAACACGTCTGATGGACGCGTCCCTTTGGGAATGAAAGGGAAAACGGGGCACACGAAAGCCCGTGGGCGCAGCGCACGCGCGCTGACAGTCGCGTTGAAGAGAGAGAGAGACAGAGAGAGAGATGCACTGTTGCAAGTCCCCCGCGAAACACGTATTTTAAACAAAACTAAATAAAATGCAAGGAGGAATGAATGACTGAGTCCGCGAAAACAGTAAAAAGTGAGAAGAACACGTCCGCTAAAGGCAAAGAGGACTGTCGTGGACTGCTACACTCGTGGACGAAGCAGATGCGATCTGTGCCGTTGCACGTAGCGGACGCGTGGGTAGTTGTCGGTGCATGCGCGCTCACGGAGACGGAGCGAGGAGTGAATACCGCATACTTGGCTCGCAGCTGAACTAACGGAGGGAGCAGTCGCGGGCTGGAGACGGGCGAGCGAGCGCGAGCGAGTGAAAGTTTTTTGGCGAAAGTGCCAAATGCGCGGCGTTACCCTCTCACCTGCCCTCGCCGTGCACGGGCTGACGAGTAGGCACAACGTGCCCAGCACAAGCAGCTGCCGAAGTTGCTGCAGCTGCTGCTGCTGCTGTCGTTCCATCCCCGTTCTCCTCCTCCTCCTCCTCGGCGCTTCCCCGCTATTCCACATTCAGCTTCACTCGCGTGGCGCTGCAGAACGCGCGCTGCAGGGGTGGCGGTGCGGGCGTTGCGGGCGGGTAAAACGCGGCACCAGCGCCCAATTCAGCTCGCAACCCCTCTAAGTCCCCTGGCTGCCTCGGGGATAACCGAGCACTAAAAGAGCCGGGGCTAAAGAAACGACGTTAATTCCTCCTCCCCCCCCTCCAGCCTCCCCCCCTCTCTGTATTTGCTCCGCGTTGCAGGCAATTAACGCGCAGCAAGCGGCGAAAAAAAGTCACGAGGCTCAACTCAGCGTCGCTGGACGCAGACTGCGCGCGGGGGCCGCCTCTCTCCTTTGTTGCCGACCTCCCCCTCCATCTGGAGTCGGCGGATGTCCATTTCCTGATGACGGCGCGGCGGGTCTCCGCTGGGAGGAGGAATGAGCCGGGCCCCGAGGGCCGGGGGGGGCGGGGAGGAGCCGCAACGTGCCCCTAAGGCTGCGCCGATGAAGCGAGATGCTGACCTGGGCTTGGAGAGGGGGGGGGGGGGTCGCTGGGTTTGCTTTGGGGGTGGGGGTAGAGAGGGGTGGGTGTTGAGGGGGGGGCTGGTCTTGGTCGAAAGGGTTGGCTTCTACTGCCGTGGCCGGTCACGTCTGCCTCGCTGCCACCTGCACAGAGTCAAGGCGGCGGAGGAGAAGGCGGTGCTGCGGATCGCGCAGCCGAGCGAGGGAGCGCCGTGCGCTCGCTCAGCCTCGATCCACCGCCGCTTGCCACATCGGGCTGCGCGCAGCGCCACGGATCTGGTCAACAATAGACGCCAAGAGCGAGGCGCTTACGTAAAGCGCCGTGTCACAGCCCCATGTCAATATCGCGTCTTGGGCCAACTTAATCCCCCCCCACCCACCCCATCCAGCACCCGCTTTGCGAATCGTGGAGGAAAGACGCGCGCACCGGACAGCAGCTACTTCCTCTGGCGGATCTGCGCGCAAAGCCAGCACGCGTGTACAATCCCGCACGATGTTTAGTGGCAGCAGCAGCAGAAGTGTGGAATCTATAGCGGTGTAGTAGCATAGTCTTGCACCCCGTTGGTTCTCAGTCGTAAAAATAAATAAATGCAATAGGTTTTATGAAACAAAGTAGTTGTACTTACGTTGCCCGTGCAAAATTTGTGTTTCGATAATTTACCTTCTAAATGTGGCATGTCTCGCACCCCCAGAAAGGGCATCTGGAACCCCAAGGGGGTGCCTACACCCCAGGTTAAGAAGAACCACTGGTCTAAGAAGTGCGTAGTAAATGGAACGCTACCATCGCGCGAAAAGAAATTCGCAGCGTTCAATCCCACACCGATTGTTCAAGAGACACTTAAAGCCCCAGGTCTGTCGCCTGGCTCTCGAGTGACAACAACACTGAGTCCCGGAGTCACTGTCATCTTTAAACAAAACAGGAACACACTGAACGTAATCGATAACGTGCCTTTGAGTCACCGCTGGTTGAAAGCCTCCCCTGCGCCGTTGTCGGCCCGTCTGTCATGAAAAGGTAGTTTGACCGCTACGCTGGTCAGTAGGACCGGTAGTAGCAGCTCACATTTAGAACTCGCCGCCTAAGGTTGCCAAGTTGGTCGCGCGGATGCCCCCACCGCTGCGCCACCGCTCCACCCCCAGTGAGTGTGGCGGCCTACGCATAGGCGCGTTGAACGCAGCACTGTATTGGCGAGATGATCAAAATAGAATTGGACGAGGATGCGGACGTGAGATGTGCCGCGGAGCGTGTTGTGCTTGGCCGTCTTGGTCCAGAAGGAAACGCGAGGCATCGAGACGTGGCTAAAGAAAATAATCGCGCAGTGGCCAGGGCGATGGAGGATGTTGATTATGCACGCAGTGATGAACTCAGCCACGGGCACGCAAGCCTCCTTCCTCCCCCCCACCAGCGAATGCTCATAAACATGCTACAATTGTAATCTTATATATACAACAACAAAACTTGAATTGCATTGACATCCAAAAGCAAGTCTTGAGCTCGAAAACGTAGCCTTAAGGATGCGGCAAAATTCGCGTGGTTTTCGTATCGCGTGGTTTTCATATCACGGCGTCGGTTTTAATGTCGGTTCGATTATTATTGTCCACGCGACCATTAACTAGGACTGACAACGGGTTATTCTATGTTTTTTTGTTATCTGAGGAGCGTGTATGTCCGCTGGCTATAATAATTGGCGTCGGAATTTACCAGAATGCGCTAACCAACCAAAACCCACAGCCTTTCTCATTCCGCCAAGTCGCCCCTTCGCCACGTGCCAACTTCATCACGTGCTAATAATTGTTGCGCAGGTAATCCAGCGGATCTAACGCAACCCAGACACGGGCGACGGTCGGCTGCCTCTGGAGGGCCCTTTAGCCCTTTGCCGAACCCATTCGGGCGTAAACGTGTCATTAACGTGTGCTTTATTTACGCCTCTTCGGCAATAAACCAGGCTGGTTTAACCACGCTCGTAAACCCGTACTACTACCGATGGCAGTTCGAAAGAATATTAGCGTCGCTAAACAATAAAAGTGACATGCAATATACGTCACGGTGCAGGATCGTGCCACCTAGCGGCCGTGGCGTGGCCAGTCGCTGCGCTTTGATTTCTGGGACGGGTTGAAATGTGTCTTCTTCTCAACGCACGGTTAGATAGATGGACGCTTGGAATGAATAAACACTGACAGACTGACAGGAGGATGCATGTGCACGGACCGGGGAAGATTCACACGTTGCAAATCGTAAGAAAGAGTGCGTTGACTGTTCCAGGAAAGTAAATGTGTTACCTGGGGCAGCTGGACGCCTCGTTCGGAGGGGCGGTGTGCCGGTGGACAAGACTGCAGGTAAAGTCGCGTAGGTCAAGTGATGCAGCAAATCTGGCTGTGACGGTCCCACCTGATGACGGAGACTTGTGTTGCCTCCGAAACGTCGTGATTTTTTATTTTTTTTATTTTATTTTATTTTTATTAATTTTAATGACATTTTATACTAACGTGACTTTACCGAAAGAACTAAGAGTATGCATCCTTGCAGTCACGAAAGCTTTAAATCTAGAATTAAGACTGCAGGTGACGGAATAGCAACGAGGGGAGACATCGCTCACGGCACCGTAAGGCCACTGTGGAGGTGGAGTTGATGGCCTTTATGATGATGATGAGAAAGGAGTGTTGATGATAATTCAGTTGTTTTCTGTTGCTGGGTTGTATAGACTTTAACTGGTATGATAAAAAAAAAGTTGAGTTTCATCTCTATATATGTTTTTTTACGTGATTTTTTTTACCTGTCCTATACTATGCAGTCCTATCGTCTTTTTTTTTGTTGCAACATTCTGACCCCGTGTCCCCTACTGGACATCCGTGCCAAAGCGCTTTACAGCTCGTCGGATTCCTCAAATACAAACAAAGAATCTGATTCTGGCTCCCGCGGTCTGGCGTCCGTGCGCCGCCTTGTATCGAGTTGTGCGTTCGCGCAGCATTTGCTCTGCATCGCGGGGGTACGGAGAGAACGCCGCCATGGAAGCCCACCGCTGCAGGGAGAGAGCCAGAGAGCGGCGTCCGATAAGATCAGGGAATGTGCAGCAGTGAGATGGATTGTGGCCATCGCAGCACCACCGAGGAGGGTTGGCTGACGCACCGCGTGGGAAGACCGTCCAGCAGTTTGATAGTCCGTGGCTGATGAAGATCGTTATCCTCTGATTGAGGTGATACCCGATGGAGGATTGCAACATTAGGTCGCGTGCAGGCTAACACCAGTGCCGGATTAAGCTCGTGCAGGCCTGTAGAATATGTTATAAAGGGGCCCTAATTTTTTTTTAAACACGTAAACATTAAAACACAATTAGTTTTACGTGCATAGTAAAGTAATTGCATTTTTTTTTCATTTGCTATACAGCCAGATAATACGAGAAATTGCTCACCTTAAAAACCCAGTTGTTCATAAAAGTTGAATGCGGTATAGTACTACAGTAATAGAGCAAGTGCAGAATCACTGAACCTAAATTGGTAGATTGAAAGCATTTAGCGTGGGGCCCTTGAAAGTGCGGGGCCTGTAGCTACATATGTAGCTACTTTTGCTACGAGGATAATCCGGCACTGGGTAACACGCTTTTTTTTTTTATAACCCCGTTAACTGCCGAATGCTTCCCATTCAGGGGTTGCACGTGGGCCACAGCAATGCCGTCTGGTTTATTTTCCTCTCCCTCAAAGCGTGAGCAATAAAACATCACCGTCAGTGTGCGTGCGGTTAGGACGCGATTATAGACGGCTGGAGACACGAACGCAAGAGAACGACATTGATAAAGTCACACACACAACACACACGAGGGGTGTTTGGTGTGTGTGGTGTGTGTAGTGCGTGTGTGTATGCTGTGTATGGTGTGTGTGGTGTGTGTGTGTGGTGTGTGTGGTGTGTGTGTGGTGTGTGTATGTGTGCTGTGTATGGTGTGTGTGTGGTGTGTGTGTGTGCTGTGTATGGTGTGTGTGTGTGGTGTGTGTGGTGTGTGTATGTGTGCTGTGTATGGTGTGTGTGTGTGTGGTGTGTGTGTGGTATGTGTATGGTGTGTGCTGTGTGTGTGGTGTGTGTGTGGTGTGTGTGTGTGGGGTGTGTGTGTGGTGTGTGTGTGGTGTCTGTGGTGTGTGTGGTGTGTGTGTGTGTGGTGTGTCTGGTGTGTGTGGTGTGTGTGTGTATGGTGTGTGTGTGTGGTGTGTGTGTGTGGTGTATGTATGGTGTGTGTATGGTGTGTGTGTGTGTGTATGTGTGTGTGTGGTGTGTGTGTGTATGGTGTGTGTGTGTGGTGTGTGTGTGTGGTGTGTGTGTGTGGTGTATGTATGGTGTGTGTGGTGTGTGTGGTGTGTGTGGTGTATGTATGGTGTGTGTGGTGTGTGTGTGGTGTGTGTGGTGTGTGTATGGTGTGTGTAGTGTGTGTGCTCTGTGTGTGTGTTCAGGAATGGGAGCCGTTTCTATTGAGGCACCGAGGAACAAAGACATCGGCAGAATCTCGCGGGGCAGTCCGCGGTTGGACGCCCAATGGGCCACATTTGCCGTTGAAATCAACGAAAATGTGCGTGGATATCACGAGGTATCGAAGGGTCACTTTTACATTGTTTATATATACACACACACAGATACAAATACATATTAAAATAACCAACACAACAAAAACAACAAATAAATATTGCGTCGTCACGCAGGTAAAACAAATACGTCTCCATATACATATCTTATACGCTCACGAAAGGTAGTAAAATAATACCTACGTGACTTTACCGAAAGAACCAAAGAGTATGGATTCCTGCAGTCACGAAAGTTTCAAAAAGCCATGTATATATACTGAAACAAAGCGTTGAAAGATTACATTATTGCGAGAACGGTTTTCCACCGTTAAAAGAGCTCAATAAAAGGCCTCCCTCCCAGTCCAATTTCTACCCACGCGTCACTTCTGGCGTCGTCCGTGACTCGGCATGAGAACACGTGGCCCTCACGTGGAGATTACGCCCGGTTTGTGTGCGTGCGTGCATTCGTTACTAATGTCACTATCAGTCTCATGGACTCTTCGTGTTTACTTTCGCGAACAAAAGAGACGACCTTCAAATGCAAATTGGACCCCAAAAGTCTAAAGGCTGCGGTGAACTAATTGCGGTTTTTTTTGAGTGGCTCAGAGGTTAAGGTTTAAATCAATTCATTTAAATTTAATTTAAATGTTTAACAAAATCAATGCGGACGTAACAAAGAGGAAAAAA